CAGGATGCAGATTTGTTAACTTTTAGGCCTGTGGCAAAACCCACCCATTTTCCTGAGGGTATGGGGAGCGAGCAGATTGATGGGACAAGGGCAAAGTTGTGTAGTTGTTATGGAGGTTAGTTTTCACATTGCTTACCCATACAGTACACAGGGAAGGCAGTACAGTTTTAATTTTTGTATGGAACAGTTTGTACTGAGTTTTATAAACTGCTCGGAGATCAGGATAGTGCTTAAACAATCACAATAAATATAGTTTGGAAGGAAAAGGGAAGAAAGCGCAGGCACCAACATAATTTAACAAAATTGTTCCTCTCCAGTAAGCCATCAAGTGAACAATGGACAAATCTGTGCACCTTCCTTCCTCCCCCCACCCCTCTTCTGCAAAAGAAAAGAAAAAGGATTTACTTTGATTGCAGGCTCTTCAGGGCAAGAGTCATCTTTTTCACTCTGCTTGTACAACACCTGGTATCCTGGTTCATGACTGGGGCTCCCAGACACCACTACACTGTAAATAATAATTTAAAAATCTTTATCCTCCTATAGGTTTCCAACATGCTTATTGCTCTAGTTCTGTACCACTCCACATACAATTCATCCCACCTCCACTTTTCACAAGAACCAGAACCCAGGATTCTTCACTCGCCTAGAAATCTCCAATGGTAGGAACAGAACCCAAGTATCCTAACTCCCCTGAAGCCCCCGCCCCCTTTACCAGCTAGGAGGCCTAGTTCAGTCAGCCCCTGCTCTGATCACTAAACATTACTACCGCCCATGTGCCTGACTTACTTTGCAATCAGCCCTATGCCTCCCCTAGGATCACAACACCTTCTGGGGTGTGAACAACCACACGTGCTGCCAACCTACAGCTATTAATTTGCATGGTCCATCCAGACAGAAGGGCTCCTACCAGGCACTATTTAAAATAAATTACTATGAAGGCGCCTATAAATATAGCAGGCCCTACAATAAACAAATCCTCAAAGCGTCATGTTTCAGAGAAGCAGCTGTGTTAGTCTGTATCCGCAAAAAGAAGAACAGGAGTACTTGTGGAGTACTTGTGGCACCTTAGAGACCTAAGGTCTCTAAGGTGCCACAAGTACTCCTGTTCTTCTCAAAGCGTCATGCAACTCTACAGCTAAATTCCTAGGGATGCCCCCCTGGCTTTGCTCTAGTTGACTATTCCCTTCATCTGTCTACCTCCTCGTCTATTGGATGGTAGAGGCAAAGTAGGCCGGGGGCGGAGCCACTCTTTGGAGCATTCCATTTGGCTAGAGGGGGG